GAATGTTCGGGAACATTGTGGGAGGCTCCGGAACATCTAGAAAGACCTGGAATAATGGAAAACGTCCTGGAATATTGTAGAAGGATCTAGAAGCGTGAAGAAGAACGTTGAAACACATAGAGGTTTCTAGACAACAATAGAGACTACATGAATGTTGTAGAATATTGTAGTAGCTAGACTTATATATAATGTTGTAGAAGATTGTAGTAACTACTTATATATATAAGTCTAGTTACTACAATATTCTACAACATTCATGTAGTCTCTATTGTTGTCTAGAAACCTCTATGGATGTTTAGTAAGTGTTAGTATAATCCCAAGGGGGCAAAAGTCTTAGGGAAGCTTCATGAGTCTAGGTAGTTCTAGAGTATTCTTTAGGAGTGGAGGTGTCTATAAATAGAGGTCACCTCATTTGCAACCCATCCAAGTATCATCCAAACATCCAAGAATCTAAGTAAAAGAGTGTATGAGTGGCATAGTTAGGGTATTTGGTCTTATAAGTTAAGTAATGTATGTTAATTTATTAAAGTAATTACGTTAGTGTTCACGTGAGTGTACCCAACCCAACATAGCACGTCCTCCACGTAGTGTCTCAAGAAAGCACCGACCATTTCTTGAAAGACGAAAGGAAAAAAAAAATGAATAATAAGAAAAAAAAATGAATAATAAGAAATGAAAATCAGAAATTAATCGTTGAAAAAGAAATAACAAAAACACATACCGACTTTGATGTGATACTTTGAATCGATAGACTTTGCACCGATGCATGCTATCACTGAGACAATAGCCATAAATTTCCGCACAGATAAATTATGGAAGTACAATTTCCTTTTCTTCTTGCATTACTACTATTTCCGTATCTTTTTGCAATTTTTTTTTTTTTGTGTTTGGTTATTTTTTTGGTATTTTTTGATTTAAAAATGGCTTACTATAAACTGTCTGAGAGGACCGTTAAAACTATCGCTGCGTCAAGCCTCGAGGACCAAATTGATCAAGTCATCACCGCCATCAATTTAAATTAATATTAATAAGTTGTATTTAATTAATTAATAATCATATATAAACTTAAACCTAATACTATAATTATATCTTTATTATATATATATATTTGTAGTATCAAAATCAAATTAAAGATTTTATATATTACTTATAAAAAAATTAAATAAAAATTAAAAAATCTACTAAGTTTAAAACATTATCAATACAGAATAAGGAAAACGAAAATACAAAAAGAAAAAAAAAAAAA